GACCTTTATTTTTATTTGCGCTGAATAGGGATGCATGCCACATCTGTAAATTTTCCAGTTCTAAAAATTCGAAAAGAATTTGTCTCTTTCAGAGAGCAAGTGAAAGGATTAGCAAAATGTTGTTATAAGTCTAAAAGACACCTTCACCCCCCTCCCCCCAATATAAAGGAAAAGCATTTAGATGAGACAGTTACAGTCCTTAAGCGTTTATATGACATATGCTGTAAATTACTCTCTGACGTGCTTGTAGTTAAAACATCTGTTGTACTTGCACATTGTGTGTGTGTTTAAAACATTTTTTTAAATAGCTACGTTTGTGCTATTTAAGAATTTCTGAAGTTCTCAGAAGAGCTTACCTCTGCCCTATATGGAACAAAATCTCATAAAGGTGGAACTAGGTGGCTTCCTGAGCAGAAATGTACTGTGGTATTTTGGGGAGGGACATAAAAGTGTAAGGTAATGAAGTTCAGTGTTCGTGAATACTCAGGAATCTGACATAACCACATATAGGATAAAGGGGGATTAGGGTCTCAGGGAATTTAGAAGAATAAACCAAAAATTCTGCACGTTAGCCCTAAAAATGGTGAAGAACAAACATGCCAACATGAACTGTGTGTCTTATTGGCACTTGAAATGGTAAAGTGCTCTGATGGTGGTATCATGGTGCAACCAATAATACTTTTAAGTAACACCAATTTCTAATTGAACATCTTATGTTTAAATGCAACATTGTTATCACAATACTAATATTACCTTTTCTGTGTAGTACAACTTGACTGAATTTGTGCTTGCTCCTCCTGTATTTATTTCGTTGAATGCAAGGCAGCCAGCTACTACATGTAGCTACCAAGGAGAATGTTTTTTTGCCACACTGGGCTTTTTGTTTTTAATTTACCTATGTTCAAAGGATATGTTAGCTTTTTGTTAGAAATGATATAATTTTCTTCTATAAAGTTTATTTCTTTCAAATTAACATGTTACAGGCTCCACATTCAGATTTGAAACAAATTGTAAATTAGCATTTTTGAAAGTGTTTTTTTCCCTCCTCTTTTGCCAGGTGTACTCCAGAGAACAAATCTCTAGACATCTTTGCCATATTGACTTTGAGCTGTCAGGGGACTCAGGCTTATGAGGAGGTTCTGTCACACAAAGCAGTGTCTAGTGAAGACGACAAGAAAGAGAGGAAAGGATCGGAAAAAGAAGCTAAAATACTATAGAAAATCATGGTAAGTATTATAATTCCTTAATTTAGCATAGAAAATTCCACTAGTCTAAAATTGTAATGTTTAAACAGTGCAAAGCAATGGTGTTAATTTTGGGGTCTAGTGCATCAGATAAAGATGGCACTCTATTATTTAAGCAATGCAAATGAGTTCAAATTTCCTACATGCCCTTTAAACTACAAAATGGTGCTCCATGAGTTTGTAGGCCATAATGTATTAAAAGCAAATGAAACAATGGAATGTTCATGAATAATATTTTCTACTAAAACTGGCATTAGCAAACCAGTGCAAATTGCTCAGTGGCCATTAGTCCAAAATTATATAGTTTCTTACTAAAGTTCTATTGTTTCCCCTTAAAGTTTAAAAAGTCCAGAACTGGTGCTGTACTTAATGATACGAGTATTTTAGGAGTTGTTAAAATGTTGAGAGTATTTAATGTAAAAAAATCATCTTTTCCCCTTGGTTTTAAGACCTCTGGTGTCTAGTTTTTAAATTGGTAAAATATGCTGATTCTTTTTTTCCCCTGTTGTATTTTGGTTCTGGAGGATGTTGTGTGAATATTTTTCCTAAGTACAAGTGAGAAAAGATTTTAAAAAGAATTTATAAGTGGGAGAAAAGCACAAAATATTAATCATCAGTATGTTTAGAATATGTTGTTTGGAAAGTCTAGTGGTGTTTCTTTAAATGATACTTGATTAAAAATTGTGTTAAGGATTAATAACTAGTTAGTTGACTTGCTCTTTACAGAAAACACTCTATTAATATTTTAGTACTGGATGGTGGGAAAGAAGTGTTAGATTGAGCTTTCTTTGTCATTTAGTTTTATGGTGAGGTGTGAAGAACCCCACTGTTACACAGTTCCCTAATGTGAATTGTTTGCCACTTCATCTCATTTATCTATTGTGGTCTTAATATTCTTATACAGTATTTATTTTTTTTTACATTGTTTATTTTTAAATAAATGTTTTATGTATGTTATATCACTAAAAATTTAGAGTTGATTCTTACTCAAGGACCTTGCAGAATATAGAACTATCCCATAGGGTTTCCAAGGTCCTGTCTTTATAAAGCCGACTGCTATATCTTTCTCCTGCGTGACTGTAGGGATTCAAACCCTGGACATAATGGTGAGCAGCTGAGTGCTTAAATTGCTTTAAATTGCTGTGCCACCAGGGCTCTTTTATCATATGCCACAATTTTCTTTTAATCGTTTTATTGTAGACTCATACAAAGCTTATCACAAACCATACATCCATCCATTGTGTCAAACACATTTGTACATTTGTTGCCATCATAATTCTCAAAACATTTGCTTTCTACTTGAGCCCTTGGTATCAGCTCCTCATTTTTCCCTCCCTTCCCGCTCCCCCCTCCCTCATGAACCCTTGATAATTTATAAATTTCTCTCTTCACCCATGTTTTCTGTTGGTCCTCCCCCTGGGGAGGGGGGTGTTATACATAGATCATTGTAATCAGTTCCCCCTCTCTTCCCCCACCTTCCCCTTCCCCTCCTGGTATTGATACTCTCAATATGGGTCCTGAAGGGTTTATCTGTCCTATATTCCCCGTGTTTCCAGCTCTTAATCTGTACCCATGTACATGCTCTGGTCTAGCCAGATTTGTAAGGTAGAATTGCGGTCATGATAGTGGAGGGGGCAAGAAGCCTTAAGGAACTAGAGGAAAGTTGTATGTTTCAGTGGTGCTGTACTGCACCCTGACTGGCCTGTCTCTTCCTTGTGACCCTTCTGTAGGTGGATGTCCAACCATCTACAGATGGGCTTTGGGTCTTCACTCTGCACTCCTTCTCATTCACAATGATAAGATTTTTTTTGTTCTGGGTTTTTGATGTCTGATACCTGATCCCATTGACACCTCATGATCACACAGGCTGGTGTGCTTCTTCCATGTGGACTTTGGTGCTTCTCAGCTAGATGGCCACTTGTTTATCATCAAGCCTTTAAGACCCCAGACTATGCCACAAATATTATGAAAATTCTCACCCTGGCTTATTCTTTAAATTTCCTCGTGTAGAAATTATATATTTTTATATAATTAGTTGTGTTTTTTGATTTTCTTATCACTTTAAATCTTGGCTCTCCAATTTGAATGAAAATTTTGTTTCTGCACTGTTTTCCTAATTGAATTTTTAATGTTTAACCCGTTTGGAGTTTATTTGTGTAATTAGGATGATTTTTTTTAAATAGATAATTTATTGTCACTTTCACCTTTGTTTTCTGGTGCTTGACCTGTCAGATAAAGTAGGCTCTTAGATGGAACCATCTCTTTTGTAACATTGGCAGTCCATATTGTTTTGTGTGAAACACCAAACGTAATGTTATGTAATAGTGTATAATTTTACAAATGTGTGGCCAGTGGGCTGGACAGAGCTACTTACCTGTCTAGGTAAGACCTAGTATCTCCAACTCATTGTGCATGTAATTTTCCTTTCCTTGTTTCTTGATCTCATGAAGTGATGGACAAGTATATTTCTTTGTGGCAGATTAAAGATTTCAAAAGTTCACTACTTTTTCAGTTTTGATTCCAGTGTTAATATGCTAATTTCCAATTAATAAGATATTCTAAAACAAAACCAAAAGGGAAAGATTGATAAAGCATTGCCAGTGTTTTACTTTTTCAGAAAAGACTGTATTTACCATCTACTAGCACATAATTACATGTAAAGAATTATAAAGACTGTAAACCAACCTTTATATTGAATACTTCTGGATTTATGGAAAACTCAGCAAGTTATCTTTGTATATTTGCTGTGTACTGGTTTCAACATCCTTATGGTATTTGGAAATATGGAAATATTTAAAGGTGTTTTTTTTTTTTGATGTGTGCCTTATGAATGTGAAGGACTACGCTATTAAATTCTCATGAAACTTCTGTTTCTGGGCTTTGGTTTGTTATACTCATTTCTGGGCTGGCATGCCATTTAAATTACTGCTTGTTTTCATATTTTATTTTGCTATAATGGTACTGCCATTCCGTCTTTGTACAATATTTTTTGATAGTCTCATTGATTTTTTTTTTCACATGAGCTTTCAAATTATTTGTATTGAGTTTTAAGTAGGTAAGCCAATCTCAAGGGAGTTTTGTTGAGAATTAAAATAAATCTGTAAATTAACTTGGGAAGTTGGGTTTTTTTTGCACTATGTATTTCCCCAACTCAGAAATTGGAATGTCTCCCACTGATCTATTTAAAAAATAAAACCTTACCCTAAAGAGATGAATGCCAAATAGTAAACAGTATTCTAATGTACTGTCTGTTTCCTTGTAGTGTTTAAACTTACATAACTTTCTACTTTGTATTATTGCTGTATTATAGTTTCAATTTTTCAAGATGCAAACATTTCTAGCAGTTTGGTTCTCATGAGTACCATCATACATTTCTAGACATTTTCTTGAAACTAGGAAGTGTGTCTTCTTGCAAATGCTGTGTGATATGCATGACTTTATTTAAGTGGTATTCATAATGAATGGGTGCCGCTAAAAGATAGCATATACATATGCTGAGTGTGACCTGAGTAAAACTTCACCAAAACATGATTGGAGAACCACTAATTTTATGATGTGAAGTTCAGTAGACCTTTTAATATCCATTCCTCAGCAATTTTTACTGATTTCAACATTATTTCACATTTGTTTAACAATTAGTACTATAAGTGGACTTGAACTATAATTTATATGTAATCCTTTTGGGGTTAACATTTCTTCTGTTGAAGAAGTAATTTTTCCTTTTGACAGAGATCTATTCGCTCTTTTGCCAATGATGATCGCCATGTGATGGTGAAACATTCAACAATTTATCCATCTCCGGAGGAACTTGAAGCTGTTCAGAATATGGTGTCTACTGTTGAATGTGCTCTTAAACATGTCTCAGATTGGCTGGATGAAACAAATAAAGGCACAAAACCAGAGGGGGAGGCAGAAGCGAAGAAAGATGATGCTATAGAAAACTATTCCAAGTGAGTGTGACCTAACCTTTGTGATGTGCTGCTGCTGTGCCTAGAGAGCCCTGAGTGTCCCAGATTGTTTGATATGTGCTCTTTGGGTTTTCACTTGTACGGCTTTCATCTGGAGATCAATGATAGCTGGATCCTTTCTAAGATAATTTGAACGGAAAGCAAGAAAAGAATAACAAATAACAGCCAGAAAGATAGATTTGGTCAGGATCCTTTTTAGGAATAAACCAAGTACTTCTAAATCTTCATGTCTGAAGATTATGATTATGATATTTTTCCTATGTTGTTTTATTTGCCCAAATTTTGAAATAAATGATAGTGCTTTTGATTAGTTATTTAAAATTTTTTATCAATAGTTTTATTGGCATATTATTCACATATAAAATTCAGTAGCTTAATCATTAAAAAGAGTTGTACAACCATCACTACAGTCAGTTTTAGAACACTTCGTTATTGTACTCACTGTTATTAGCTAATTGTCCCCTACCTCCCCCTACCTCCTCCCCAAGAAGCCATTAATCCAGTTACTGTCTTTATAGATTAAAAAAAAGAAAGTAGAAGAATAAAGGAAAATGTATTTTAATGACTATTTTTGAGCAAAGAAAGTGTAATTAAAAAAAAAAAGAGAGAAGAAAGTGTAATTAACCTGAGTCAAAATGCTGCATGTTCTGCCCATTGTTGCTCTGACGGTGCTTTTGAGGATACCACTCAGTGTACTTGTTCTTGAATGGTTTTTTTTTAAAGGAAACAGTTGTTGAATGTTAACACTAAAGCTTAACATATCCCAGTTACCTCTCTAGTTGTTCATTCTTTAAGGGTCAACTCAGGAGTTGTTTTTCCTCCATAGATAGAGATTAGTGAGAAATATTTGATAAATGGATTTACTTCAGTGAAAGATATTATAACCTTTTTATCTGTAGATCTATCAGCAGGTTTAGTTTTTTTTGAAGAAGAAGATAAATCTTTGATTTGTTGACGCTGTGCAATAAATTTCTACATTACATCTAGTAAAATTCTTGTCAGTTTGAAAGTTCTTGGCAGTAATTCAATTCTTCCCAACTATCTATAACAATTGAAAAGTTCTACTTGCGAATTTGGGGTCCATGTCAGCTAGTCATTTGGCTCTTTGTACTTGAATCCCTGTGCAGGCTCAGTAGTCATACACTATATATTTAGATGGTACTTTGGTGCACATTCATGCCTTTCTAATAAATCTTCTAATGTTGCTTCTTCTTAAGGCTGGCAGATTTTTGGAAAGTCTCTCAGACTTTTGCTTAACTGGATGAGGTCACTGTGCTTTAAAGGTTTTTAAAAAAAAAAATTTTATTGGGGGTCTTACAGCTCTTATAACAACCCAGACATCAATCGTATCAAGCATATTTGTACATATGTTGCCTTCATCATTTTTGAAACATATTCTTTCTACTTGAGCCTTTGGTCTCAGCTCCTCTTTTCTCTCTCCCTCACCCACCGTTCCATCCCTGTGACTCCTAGATAACTTATAAATTATTATTATTTTCATATCTTATACCATCCGCTGTCTCTCCCTTCATCCAGGTTTCTATTGTTCATCCCCTGTGTGTGTGTGTGTGTGTGTGTGTACATCGATCATTGCAATTGGTTCTCCCTCTCCTGCCCTCATGGTATCGCTACTCCCGTTACTGTTCCTCAGGGGTTTATCTGTCCTGGATTCTGTGTGTTGAGAGATCTGTAACAGTGTACATGCTCTGGTCTAGCCAGATTTGTAAGGTAGAGCCAGGGTCATGATAGTTGGGGGAGGAAGCATTAAAGAACTAGAGGAATGTTGTGTGTTTCATCGGTGCACACTGGCTGACTCGTTCCTTCCTTGTGACCTTTCTGTGAGGAGATATCTAATTGTCTACAGATGGGCTTTGGGTCTCCACTCCAACCCCACCTCGTTTGCATTGATATGATTTTTTGATCATCTGATGACTTATACCTGTCGACACCTTGTGATCACACAGGCATGCTTTTTCCATGTGGGCTTCGTTGCTTCCCTGTTAGATGGTCACTTGTTTAACTTCAGACCTGCTTTACAGGTTTTTAAAGAACAGTATGACCCAGACTTTTTCTTGGATTTTAAAATATAGTTATATGTGTGGATCTCTTGATTGTCCATGTGAAAAAACCCTTCCATTTTGTGCACCAGTCTCAGATTGAGCACTTAGTATCCTTCCCCATATGCTAAATAAATAGAAGCACAGATGGGCTCTGTTTTTATTTTGTTTAAAACAGGTAAGGACTTCTTCCAAAAATAGAACTCTTGTTAAGTAATGCATCACATTTTTAATGCATCATAAAACATTACAAAGGGTACAAAGATAAATGAAGGACCCCCAGAATTCCAAACTCACTGCCATTGTGTCTCATAGCGACCCTATAGGACAGGATAGTACTGCCCCTGTGAATTTCCAAAACTGTAAACATTTTACAGGAGTAGAAAGCTACACATCTTTCTCCACAGAGTGCTGTTGGTTTCAAACTGCTGACCTTGAGGTTACAGCCCAACGTGTAACCTAGACCAATTAACTGTTACCTCACCAGAACTTTTGGTTGTCAGGTACTGTTAGCCAACTTTTGCCTACAGCCTCTATTTACATGTTTTATAGGAAACAAATTGACTCAAAATTAAAATAAATTGTACAAGTGTTCACAATTTGTATTATTAGAAATATTAGGACTCTCTTTTTAATTCAAGTAGCCCTGTTCTGTTGGTTAGGCATTTGGCTGCTTGGCAGTTTAGACTCACTAGCTGTTCCTGGGGAGAACGATGAGGCTGTCTGCATTTACCAAGATTTATAGTCTTAGAAATCCTGCATAAGGTTGCTATGAATAGGTATCAACTCTATGGCAGTGGTTTATTAAAATTTGTATTTTTTAATTTAGGAGCCCTTGGGTGGCACAAATGGTTAAAGCACTTGGTTATTTATCAAAAGGTTGCTGACTCGCATCTACCTAGAGCAGTGGTTCTCAACCTTCCTAATGCTGCGGCCCTTTCAAACAGTTCCTCATGTTGTGCTGACCCCCTAACCATAAAGTTATTTTTCTTGGTAGTTCATAACTGTAATTTTGCTACTGTTATGTATCGTGCGACTCCTGTGAAAGGGTCATTCCACCTTCAAAGGTGTTGCCACCCACAGGTTGAGAACCGCTGCCCTAGTGGCTTCTCTGAAGAATAACCAGGTGATTTATGAGGGCAAGTCTACAAGTATTACTACAAAATTATAGAATTCTTTATTAAACAACAACAAAAAATCAAACATGAAGCTATTGTTTTCTCAACACAACACCCATACATGTCTGAGGTAGTGCTTCCATCTCGCTAACTCCTCCCCCAGAGTAATTCTGCACTATCTGATTTATACCACATAAAAACAGTAGTTTTTGGTATTCTCAAAGGACGCAAATCAAGTTATTTTACAATGTTCTTTGAGATTTGGAATAAAAAAGAAATCTGCAGGGGCAAGACCAGGGCTGAAGGGAAGGTGGGGTTAGTTTTCTCAATGAAATTCTTGTAGGATAGCTGCTCTTGAAGAAAGACTACGTGCTGTAAAGCTTATAACCTTTGAAGCACTAAGGAGCAGTTCTGCTCTATCCTACGAGGCTGCTATGCAAAGGGATGGTCCATAAGACAGTGTTTTAAAGTTCTGACTCCAGATGTAGCTTTTTTAGCATTGTTGCAATGTCCCATGAATAAAACATGAAAATAGTGCACAGGGAGAGATTATACGCCGGTTCTTTTGTTGTTAGGAGCTTTCTGGTTGACTCCACCTTATATTAGTTCGGTTTACAACAAAATTAAATGCTGCCTATTCTGCAGCATCCTGCAAATTGTTTGAACCCATTTTTGCAGCCACTGTGCCAACCCATTTAAAGGGTCTTATACTCCCCCCCACACACACTTTTTTTTTTTTGGCTGACCCTCCACTACTTCCTTAGCGATCAGAGGAATAGGTTCAACAGATGGGGAAAAAATTGAATGACAAAGTAGAAGAAAAAATAAATCTCAGCAAAGATCCTGAATGTCAGAAGATACAGGAACTGTTCAAGGGATCATACTAATGTTTATTGAACTATCAATATGTTCCCAAACTCAGCTCAGTTCTTTACTTAGATTAAGTTAAACGATGATGAGTGCTACTCTTTGAGAAAGATATTATTTCTGTTATTGTGAGGTGCCATCAAGTCAAGTCCTACTTACAATGACCCCTTATGTGTAAGAGAGTGAAATACTGTGTGGTCCTAAACCATCTCACAATCCTTCCTGTGTGAGCCCAAAGTTTCCCTCTGGGTCAGTCCATTGCATTGAGAATCTTTCTCTTTTTTACTTACCCTCTACTTTACAAAGCATGATGTCTTCCTCCAGGGACTAGTTCTTCCTCTTATCTTGTCCACAGTTTGTGAGGTGAGGGCTCACCATCCTCACCTGTAATCAACATTATGGTTGTGCTTCTTCCAAGCCAGATTTCTTCATTTTACAATACAGTCCATGATACATTCAATATTCCTCACCAGTACCACACGTCAAAGGCAGCGGTTCATTTTTGGTCTTCCTTATTCACTGTCTAGCTTTTTCAAGGATATGAGACAATTGAAAATACCATGACATGGATCAGGCATACTTTAGTGCTCAAGGTGACAACTTTTGGTGGGGCATTTTATTTATTTATTTTAAATAGGCCTTTTGCATCAGATTTGCCCAATACAATAATATAGAGTTGATTTGGGTGGGGGTGGGGATGGGGACACGCACCGGCTGCTGCTTCTGTAGGTGCTGATTGTGGACCCAAATCAAATGAAATCTCTGACAACATAAATATTTTTATGTGTGTCAATGTAGCTTATTGGTCCATATGCGAAGATTTTTGTTTTCTTTATGTTGAAACTGTAGCCTTTGATCTTCATCCATAAGTGCTTTAAGTCATCTTTACTTTCAACATGCAAAGTTTTTTCACCTGTATTTTTCAGGTTGTTATTGAATGCTACTCCAATTCTGTTGTATGTTTTTTTTCCCATATAGTCCACTTTTTCAGATTATTAACATGTAAATTGAATAAGTGTGGTGAAAGGACATCACCCCAATACACACCTCATTTGATTTTTTTTCCTTTCAATTTTGCCTGTTTTGATGAAAGTTGTGTACCAAGATTATTTTATAATTACATATTCTCAATCGAATCTTCTTTATATGTTTCCCTTTTCTTGGTGAGATTTCGCTTTCTGGTGTATACAGTAGAGTGGAGCCAGCAGAAGTTAGTCAATAAGGCTGTTGAAAAAGGAGGTTTCTGAGGTGAGAGAAAATAAGAACCTAAAAGAAATCTGTAAATCACTATTGGATTTGGAAGGGGTGCTGGTGCACAACACTTAAGTGCTTGACTTCTAATCGAAGGGTTGGTGGTTTGAACATGCCTAGTTGCTCTGCTAGAGAAAGACCTGAGTATGTGTTCTCATAAAGAGTACAGCCTAGAAAACCCTATCCTGCTGCCATCAGTTGGTCCCGAGGCACAGTGACTCTGCATAGGGGTTCTAAGACTCGGTCTTTATAGGAGGAAATACTGTATATACTTGAAGATGAGCCGACCTGAACATCTGCCGAGGCACCTAATTTTACCACAAAAACTGCATTAAAAATGTGCTAAAAAACTAGGCTTATACCCGAGTATCTATGATATTCTGGTCTTTCTCCTTTAGAGTAGCTGGTGGGTTTGAACTGTTAATCTTGCCATTAGAAACCCAACACTTATTAGGCAGTGCTGTTCTGTCACATGAATTTATGATTTGAAATTGACTGGATGACTTTTTTTATTAAATACTTTTATTGAGGGCTCTTACATCTCATCACAATCCATACATTCATCCAGTGTGTCAAGCACATTTGCACATATGCTGCCATCATCGTTTTCAAAGCATTCTCTTCCCACCTAAGCCCCTGATATCAGCTCCCCAATTCATCCCCCACCCTCCTTCATGAACCTTTACTAAGTTATAGATGATTATTTTCATATCTTACATTGTCATCACTTTTCCGTGGTTCTTCCCTTGAGAGAGGGTTATAGGTTGATCCTTGTGATCGATTTCCCCCCCACCCTCCCCTAATCCTCCTGGTATCTCTACTATCATCGTTGGCCCTTAGGGGTGTGTTTATCTATCCTGGAATCCTTGTGTTTCGAGCTCTTATCTGTAGCAGTGTGCATGTGCATTTTCTGGTCTAATCTGATTTGTAAGGTAGAATTGAGATCATGATAGTGGGGGGAAGGAAGCACCAAAGAACCAGAGGAGAGTTGTGTGTTTCATCGGTGCTATACTGCACTCTGACTGGCTCATTTCTTCCCTGTGACCCCTCTGTAGGGGGTTGTCCAATTGTCTACAGATGGGCATTAGGTCTCCACTCCATCGCGCCCTCCCCACCCCCCAACTCACCTTGGGTATGATTTTGTTCTGGGTCTTAGATGCCCCTGATACCTGATCCCATCAAAACCTCATGATCACACAGGCTGGTGTGCTTTCTTCCATGTGGGCTTTGTTGCTTCTCAGCTAGATGGCCGCTTGTTTATCTTCAAGCCTTTCAGATCCCAGACACGATATCTTTCGAAAGCTGGGCACCATCCGCTTTCTTCACCACATTTTCTATGCATCCATTTTGTCTTCACCGATCGTGTTGGAAAGGTAAGCATTACAGAATACCGAATTATTAGAACAAAGTGTTCTTGTGTTGAGGGAGTACTTGAGTAGAGATCCAATGTCCATCTGCTACCTTAATTCTTAACATAGATAATAAGTACATAGTTCTATACCCCTCTTGTTACATATATATATTTACATGTGTACATGCCTGTATTTAGACCTTTATAAATGTCCTTTGTCTCCTGGTTCTTTCCTCTATTTCCTTTTACTTTTCTCTTGTCCCACCATCTTGTTCAGCTTGGGTTCAGTATTCCTTGCTGCTACATTGCCCTTGATTAAGTCCCACTAGGCATCCTACGCCTTTCGACTAGATGACTCTTAACAACAACAAATTGGATTTGTGGACATGATAAGATGAATGGACAAAGGTAAAGATGACTGACTTTATTCTTAATATTAAAGACTTCCCTACACTTGACCACTTGCTTTAAAATGCTTTTTTAATGTCTTTTCTATACATATGCAATGGGCTCAAATGTAAGAACAACTATGAGGGTGGCATAGAACTAGGCAGTGTTTCCTGCTGTTCTACATAGGATTGCTGTGAGTCAGAACAACATACTTAGACCACTTTATAGTTTTCATTGACTCCCTAAAGTCCCTATTGAGTCCCTAAAGTCAGCTAGGCATCGAGTCATTGGATTATTTATAGCTTCTTTTTTAAAATAAATCATTTTATTGGGGGCTCTTACAGCTCTTATAACATTCCATACATCAATTGTGTTAAGCACATTTGGATATATGTTGCTATCATCATTTCCAAAACATTTTCTTTCTACTTGAGCCCTTAGTATCAGCTACTCTTTTCCCACCTCCCTCCACCACCCTCCCGCCCTCGTGAACCCTTGGTAATTATAAATTATTTTTATCTTCATATTTTACATTGTCCACAGTTAATTTTGACCTTTAAAACTTCAAGAAGCAATCCTATAATGTAAAGAACATCAACATTGTCATCAAACAAAATGGATTTGAATCCAGACTTTGCCATTTTAGTAGCCATTTTGTGAACGGAAATAACACTTAGCATTTCTGAGATTCACATTTCTTGTCTTTCAAATGCGGCATTTAAAATGCATCTTAGATATTAGTTTCTCTTCCTCTTTTAAGGATATTTTGGATATTTTCAGTGATTTTTATTGTTACTTAACTATAGTGTAAATCTGTGGAAAGAAAAATTAGATGGATAATACTAAAGGGTAGGTACTACCTCATCTTCTTTAGTATGCCTCCCTACTGGACCTCTGGCTTGCTTGCTTGTTGAATGAGTGCTAAATGTAGTTTACATTTTCACTTGTAATTAAGAGAAACAAACCAGTAAGAATTGTTACCAATTTAGTTGTGCACCATTCAGGATTGTTCTTTCAGTGTTCTTTTAGCTACTACTGGCTTTGGAATGCATATACAGGCAGATTATTTTTCGTCTGTTCATTCCTTCCTCTGTTAGTTTATTTTTATCATATTACTCTGCTTTCCACATAAGCTTTTATAGATTCATAGAGTGATATAGCCATTTTATAGATGTGGCTACTGAGTCAGCAGGCACTAACCAGCAGGAGTAGCATACAGGTCTTCTAGGTTTCTGCTCTCATGCTCTTTCTCAGAATATCATGGCATTCGTGCTTGTCACAGCTTCTTTGATTAATTAAATTATAGGATGAGGAAGATTAGGAGAAACAATTTGAGAACTGTGCAGTATTTTGGGTTTTCTTATGTGATACACATAGAATATAGAATTAAAACACCTAGTCTGAAATGTGCTCCCCATTGATCCCTTGAGGAACATAGATGCTTTAAAGTTGTGGATTTTTGAATGGGGTTACCAACTTATAGCTATATATAAGAAGTCAACTTTATGTGTGTGTGTGTGTGTGTGTGTGTGTGTGTATATATATATATATCGTAAAAGTAATCATTCAGATTTTTATTTTTAGGGATCAAGGTGGCCGAACATTGTGTGGTGTCATGAGGATTGGCCTGGTTGCAAAAGGCTTGCTGATTAAAGATGATATGGACTTGGAGCTGGTTTTAATGTGTAAAGACAAGCCCACAGAAACACTGTTAAATACAGTCAAAGATAATCTTCCTATTCAGATTCAGGTGAGTACAACTTAACTGCACCTTTAGGAGAATCTGTAAAAATATGAAATAGGGCATGACCTTCAATAACAAGAGATAATCACAGTAATTAATCCATGACATTTATAGTAGATTTTGGGTGACTAATAGGATCTAGTTTCCAAATTAAGGTGGCTAGTAAGGGACAGCCATAAACTTTTCAGGTATATCCAAGAGTCTTCATGTTTTTCTTTTGAGACTAAGTTCTCTTACCATTATAAAATATTTGGATGGGCTGGTATAATCTGTAAAGGAATTGAAAAAATTGAAAAGAGCCCAAACAATTGGAGACTTTCATAGATGATCATTTTTAAAATTTAAAACTCAGTTAATTTAACAGTGACCTCATCTGCTTTGCTAATGGAAAACCATTATTAATTCCTCATTTCCAAACCATTTTCACTTTGTGATGCATTTAGAAAATTCTAATGTTAGTGTGCTCCCTGGAGGATACTGTGGTAGACTGCAGGCTTCTCAGAGCTGAAGGCAGTAGGCCCAAAACTTTGGTCACCATAGGCCCACCATCCCAGCACTGATTTGGGAAGCTGTGATTAATTTTTAGTTTCAAGCCTGGGTTAACTGTGGTATAACTGGATTATAGCTTTTGGATAATTTCATATTAGTTTCAGATCTGGGTTAACTGTGGTATAACTGGATTACAGCTTTTGGATAATTTCATATTAGTCCTTATATATGTGTCACCCAAAGAGATGTCAACCCACAACGTCCAAACTTTGAGTTGGTGAGGCTAACTTTTTTGTGTGTGTATTTGTTTTCTTTTATTTGTATTTATTCTAAAAGATATGTTTTTTCCAAGTAATAGGAATTCTAAATGAGTGTTTGTTATTTTTGTTACAGCATTATCTTCTTTCATATTCACCACCTGACCATCAAAACCATCTCCCTGATTTTTTTTATCTATCACACTTGACTTACTTATTGGTACATTCCTTTATGCTAATTTTATACTATTTGACACACTTTATTAATTTATAATACTTTTCTTCCTCAATTTGCCTTGAATATTAAGATATGTTTTTCTAAGAGACTACAAATATTTGACTTTTCAACTTTCAGTTCTGATTGATAAATACGTGTTTTGGTCTTTTAGAGGGTGAAATTTTTACTTTGCTTTTAAACTCTTCTATGATTATTGGGGGAGAGAAAGTGGAAGACAATAAAGTGTTAAGAAATGGAAAGCTAATTTATACATGTAAAAATGAAAATGCTAATAAAATTGCTTTCATGTCTTTTTTAACTCTTTAAAGTTAATCTATATTTGGCTCTACATAGATAGTGAACATTGTGAAAGTGGAGTCTATAATAATGTAACAGTGAAAGGTTCAGGCATATTTGAGGCATAATAATGACCTGGAGAACAGAATAACCTGGAGGGCTTTTCTAACCATCTCCCCTCCCTTTCTGTTCTTTGGTATGAGTCCTGCTTCAGGTGAGAGTAGTCTTGTTTCTCAGATGTAACAAGGTGGAAAGGTTTGAGAACCAGTGGTATTTAATAAATCAGTTCCTATTCTAAAAATCTGCTCTGTCTCCTAGAGTATTGCAGGTACAGAAGATGGGGGCCAAGCTTTAGTGTGAATTTGTAGAACAGTCTCTGTTCAGATGACAACTGTGTGAACTCTGCATTGTTCATCTCCTGAGTGAGGATCTTTACTTCTGGGCATCACAGTTTTAAAATATTCTTGATAAGCTAGCAAGTATGCATGGAGGGATCTAGGAGAGCATGTGGACTGTGCAAGCTATCTTGAGGTGGAAGCAATTGGGACTTCATAGGCTGACCAAGATAAAGGAAGACAAATATCTTTAGGTCTAAGTATTTGGGTAATGGTACATTTTTCTGTAAAATGGGAATGATAATTATATACCTATATCAGATTAAATTGTTTATGTGTACACATGTAAGGCTACACACATTATGGGAATATTTAAAATACAATTTTTGCTTTTACAACCCTCACAGTGCCTTTGAGTTCTCTTTATGTAGGACACCAATTTTTGATATCCTGTTTTTTTATGATTTAAATATCCTTTTTTTCTCCTGAACACTTAGCCACAAAAATACTTTGATTTATCCAGTGCTGTAATTGATTAGGTGGTACTATACATTTTTGTCCTATGCTTTTCTGGAATGATTTTAGAACTTCGTTAAGAAAGGAAGAAGGATGACCAAAATTAGAAATCACTTAGAGTTAGTCTGCCCTGTATCTCATGCCATATGCTTATTACTTAGGTTGTGTCATTCAGCTATGATGATCTGTTTGCATAATTTAAAAATTAATTTTACTCATTCTGCTCTTTGAATAGCTCTAGTTTTGGTTCTTCTAGTCTCTGTGTGGCTTTTCCTTTGCTTGATTTCCTCTATACAAAATTAAGATAATAGATTTTCTATTTGCTCTCTGTTTAGGAATGCTTACTGGTAGAATGTTATTTGAAATACTTTACTGTACACTGATGGGCAGAAACCTAGTAATCCTATCTCCATTTTACCTGACTACTTGATGTCAGATAATTGAGACTAAATTTCAGCCTCTAAAGGTCCCTGTGTAATTTTTTATTCAGTTACACATTTAGTATATAATAATGTAATTTTAAATATAAGTATAGTTGATTGATTGTTTTATGGACAACCTTTAAACTATGTATTTACAATTGTATGGTGAAAGGGAACTCAGGTTTCCTTGTGGATGTCAGACGACATGTCCCATAATGAGAAGAATCTTTGGGATGATCTCTGATTCTGATCGCTATTATCAGAAAAGGGAAATCACTTATTTATATTCGCTTTCACTGGTTAGTAACTGTGCCGGATCCATTTTCATATGTGCATACTCTGTTTTATTAAAAATATGAATAATCTTATATTTTTAAGTCCTTGGCAAGTAGAAAATTCTATTTAAGATGATCTTTAAAAAAAGATGCTGTTTTAGAGAGCATCTCCAGCTATTTATTATTGTGCAGTAGTACTCTAATAATTACAAGAACAGCAATTATACCTGTATCATATAAATTATGCTATTGGCAATTTTCCTTTCAAATATTATTTAAAATGGCCTTAAATGCTGTTTAATAATGGTGTAAGTAGATGGTTTACATGTTTACTTTTTGAGTAATGCAGAATGAGTATAGGCTTATAATTGAGTAGAAAAGTATTACCCCAAACAACAGAACAAGTTAAGGACTAGCCTTTCATATAGTAATACTGAGTACTTAATTAATCACATGAGAACTGAGGGGCTGGCATTCATTTATGAGATTTTTACTCTAACAGGGTGTTTTTACAATCTTGGTGACTTTCAGAAACTCACAGAAGAGAAATATCAAGTGGAGCAATGTGTAAATGAAGCATCAATTATAATTCGGAATACAAAAGAACCGACACTAACTTTGAAGGTGATACTTACTTCCCCTCTAATTAGGGATGAATTGGAGAAAAAGGATGGAGGTACATGTATATATATACTTTTTGCTGTGTATTCACTATCTCTCTGATGACTATGTTAATTACTTATTCTTTATGGATATAAGTGATAGCTGTATTCATTTGTTTTATGCTGCCCATAATATTTTAAATGGCTCTGTTTCTACATAATTAGTATATTTTGCAAAAATATATAAATTCAAAAAAGAAAATATGTTAATTCAGAAACAGGCCTTTCACGATCTTACTCTCTCAATTTTCCTACCATTTTGGTTTTCTATTTTACTTTGCTTAGTGTTGAATTGTTTTATTAATATCAGCCAAGTTCTGTAGTTTAGTTTAACGTGATCAGATTTCATAACCTTCTTAGTAGCTTGAGTATGATATATGTAGGAATCATGCTTTACAATTTCTTTATCTTGAAGCTAAAAAGAATTTTGATGTTATTTTCATAAAAGGTTTCTATTTGATTATCATTAGATTTGAGAATGATGGACCTGTGTTGGGGTTCTTTTTCTGATGACTTTATCCTGTCAAGTTAACTTGTTTCTGTCTCTCAGTCCTATCCCTGGAAGCTTGCCTTGTGATATTGCTCCTGTGTCAGATCTTTGACCAACTGGCCACTCTCAAGACAATTTAGAGACACTGGGGCATATCTGGGCTGATGTGGACTCCCTGTTGCTATTTTTCCATCACTAGATTTCAAAAGATTCTGTTCACTCTTTCTGTTTTTGTTTTTCTTAATTTATTGGGGGCTCGTACAATTCTTATCACAATCCATACATACATCCATTGTATCAATCACATATGTACATTTGTTGCCCTCATCATTCGCAAAACATTTGCCTTCCACTTTAACCCTTAATATCAGTTGCTCATTTCCCTCCACCCTCTTCCCTCCCCCTCCCTCATGAACCCTTCATGATTCATTACTTATTATAGTTTTGTCATAAGTTACACTGTCTGCGTCTCCCCCCGCCCTCTTCTCTGCTGTCCCTCCCCCAGGGAGGAGGCAATACTTAGATTCTTGTAGTTGGTTCCTCCTTTCTCTACCCCACATTCCCTTCACCCTCCAGGCCTCGCCCCTCTCACCACTGGTCCTGAAGGAGTCATCTGTCCTGGATTCCCTGTGTTTCCAGTTGCTATTTGTACCAATGTACATCCTCTGGTCTAGCTAGATTTGTAAGGTAGAATTGGAATCATGATGGTGAGGGGGGAGGAAGCATTCAAGAACTAGAGGAAAGTTATATGCTTCATCATTGCTGCCCTGAACCCTGATTGGCTCGTCTCTTCCCCACAACCCTTCAGCAAGGGGGTGTCCAGTTGCCTACCGATGGGCTTTGAGTCTCCACTCTGCACTCACCCACCTTTACAATGATATTTTTTGTTCTTTGATGCTTGATACCTGATCCCTTTGACAGCTCGTGGTCACACATGCTGTTGTGCTTCTTCCATGTGTGCTTTGTTGCTTCTGAGCTAGTTGGGCTTGTTTATCTTCAAGCCTTTAAGACCCCAGATGCTATATCCTTTGATAGTGGGCACCATCAGCTTTCCCCACCACCTTGGCTTATGCACACGTTTGTCTTCAGTGATCGTCTCAGGAAGTGGGCACTCACTGATCTGATTTTTAGTTCTTTGATGTCTGATAACTGATCCCTTCTGCACCTCGTGGTCAGACAGGCTGGTGTGCTACTTCCATGTGGGCTTTGATGCTTCTGAGCTGGATGGCCACTTGTTTATCTTCAAGTCTTTAAGACCCCAGACACTATATCTTTTGATAGCCGAGCACCATTAGCTCTCTTCACCACATTTGCTGATGCACACGTTTGTCTTCAGTGACCGTGTCAGTAAAACGGGCACCCACTGATATGATTTTCCATTCTTTGATGTCTGATAACTGATCTTTTCTACACCTCATGATCAGACAGGCTAGTGCGCTTCCTCCACGTGGGCCTCAGTGCTTCTCAGCTAGAAGGCTGCTTGTTTGTCTTCAAGCCTTTAAGACCCCAGATGTTATATCTTTTGGTAGCTGGGCACCATCAGCCTTCTTCACCACATTTGCTTATGTTCACATTTTTCCTCAGCAATCGTATTGGAAAGGTGTGCATCCTGGAATTCCAATTTAATAGAACAACGTGTTCTCCAAATGAGTAAGTGCTTGAGTGGAGGCCCAATGTCCATCTGCTGCCCTAATACTAAGCCTATAAATATATGCACGTAGATCTGTTTCCCCACACTCTTATAAAAATACATTTACATATGTACATTCCAGTCTTAAAACCTCTATAAATACCCTTTGTCCCCTAATTCTTTCCTCTATTTCCTTTTACCCTCCTCTTAGCCCACTATCATGCTCAGCCTTCATTTGGGTTTCAGTGATTTCTCTCGGTTACATTGCCCTTGCTGAATCCGTACCAAGCCTCTCACACACCCCTTGCCACTGATTTTAGATGACTTATTGCTCTCCTGTTCCTGGGTTGGTCAGCAACAGCTCCTTACCCCCACCTCCCCCTCTCCCATGTCCCCCTGGAACCGTTGGTCTCGTTGTTTTCTGCTCCAGACTTCATCCAGTCTATCTTATCTAGATAGATCTGTAGAGATAATAATATGCATCAGAAACCAAGCCATAGCAAGATAGGCGATCAGTGAGAACACAGCGATGGCAACAAAAAAGTAAACCAAATATACCCATAGAAGAATAAATTAATTAAAAGAAAAAAATTTTAAATAGAAAGAAAAACCTGTAAATAGATCAAGGTCTGATTTTTGATCTCAAGGCGTATCCTTCAGTCAGGACCGATGGGGTACCATGCTCTGGCCCCAAATATTGGTCAGTTTCTTAGTTTGTTTCAAGTTAGTGGTAAGGGTGGATAAAAACATTTACCAATGAAGTTAGAATTTAGAGCTTTGGCAGACATGACTCAGGATTACCTAAAGAAAGAGTGCTATGCTCCTTTTTAAAAAATGGTTTGGGACTAACTGAAATCAGCTGTACCAGACCCAACAGATACAAATCAGACACACATATTAGCCATATTTTAAAATCAAACTGCAGTCTAGTCTATAGTTGGGCTTATGTCGTCCCGTACCCCCCACCCCTCACCCGCTGTCCCCCCTGGTGTATAATGTCGGTAGCACCTCTTAAGAGCCAAGTCTTAAATGGCTTCATTTTCTTAACAGCTTTTACAGTTCACTATTAACCGTAGAACTATAAAATGATTTCTTCAGTATCAAGATAAATGTTAATTCTGGTAAGCTGTGGTCTACTTGACCCCCTAATATAAAACCAACCATTTCTAAGTATAGTTATAATTATAGGTATTATTAAAAATTGTTTGAGTATGGGGAGATGATATAAAGACAAAAACTGTTGCCAAAGACTAGATTAATTGTACATTTGCCTGTAGCTGTAGGCATTCCTTCCATTGCTTCTTTGAAAGCATTTAGGGAACATCAGACTTCTTTTTTCCTATGATCTTATATGCTTACATGGGATTTTTGTCATAGCTTTCAGTGATACCCATAAGGTTAGTTTGTTTCCTTTAGAACTTTTCATTTCTGTTCAGAGAAGCTGAAAACAGGTTCTTGGTGTATTTCATGCTTATAGAATACTATTTTATTGCAGAGTGGAGTTTGTAATAAAGTAGGAGAGTGATATTCTCTGTTCAGGTGTTTGGGTTACTAAAGGATCCTTGGATCTTTTATGAGCTAAGTCTCACAAGCTGATGTATATGATTACCCTGTGGGACAAAGTAAGGTAAAAAAAAATCAGCTTGGATCTGCGGTTTCACACATGTTATTTCCTCCCTGTTTGAATGGCAGAAAGATTTGCTTCACCACTTATACCTTGTCTTTAACCTTGCAGACTTAATGATTCATGTTATCCTTTGTAGTTTGCTCATTTTGACCAACCTGGGCTTTACAAAGACTTTTTCTGTTTGTTCTTTTTTAGCAGTTTTGTATGTTACTGGGAAAGTTGGAGAATCCAGCATAATTGAGCATTTTCAACGTGGAATTCCTAAATTCCTTCAACTTACAGGAATTTATTTTTTCTACATTGCTCTTCATTCCCTTAATGCAGTGTTTTCACTGAATAGGGTTGAAAGCACAAGATACAGTTAGGTTTTAGGACTGGAACATATTCTAATTTTCAGTCTCACACATTTTCTTTTTCAGGGTTTAAAACAATGGTTCTCAACTTTTCTAATGCCATGACCCTTTAATATACAGTTCCTCATGTTGTGGTGCCCCCCCAAGCATAAAATTATTTTTGTTGCTACTGCATAACTGTAATTTTGCTACAGTTATGAATCGGGCGATTCCTATGAAAGGGTTGTTTGACCACCCCCAGAGGGATCTTGACCCACAGGTTGAGAACCACTTGTTTAAAAACTAAGCACCAGAACTTTTTCTTTTGAACTGGAGATCTTTCTTCTCTATATTATCACTCTCTCCCTCCCAACAAACAAACGGTTACACACACGCACGCAAAAACACTGTATTTTCCACTTCCCTTTCTTTACATGCTATATTTTATTATATATATTTTATTTTATTATTCAAATAATAAAAATTTATAAAAGGAGAAAAAGAATGGTTGGGAGCAGGCAGAACCAGAAAACCGAGAAAGGTTTAGTGCCCAACTTAATCAGTCAGGGGTGTTTTTGTTTCAGCAGAAAGAAGTAGATCTTACTACATTTTCCTTTCAAACCATACTGTATGTTTTAAATTACCAGAATAAATCACTTTGCTATTGTTTACAATGGCTCATGTAAGTTTCCTTCTATGCAGTCAATTTTATTTCCATACTTGATACTTTATTTGAAGACCTTATAGAATAAATATTCCCCATTACTTATATATTACCATACGTATTATATTTATTGCTAAAGAAGGCATAGCAGAAAAATCACAGAGTTGGTGCATGGCAGCTTTATGTTTAATTCTTAATGATATTAGTTATTGTTGTACAATCTTTTTCAGGCTTCTCTTTGTGAAAAATATAAGTAACCTCAGAAAGTTGTTTTGAGGTGAAATGAGAGGATTATATAACTTGTATAATAAGCAGGATAAAGCTCAATAAATGGCGGCAGTTATTCCGCTTACTGCAAAGATTCACAGAGCACACACACCCTACTCAAATTGCCATGAGTTAACAGTGAGAATAATGTGTACCTGACAGGTCTAAAGAACTGAATTCAGAGACGGTTAAACTCTTAAAAAACCACTGAAATACAGTATTAGAACCCAGTGTACTGAATGTTTGCTGCAGTGCTGATAATGATTTGGTTTATTGTGTAGCTTATGATTCATTGAAAGCAGTTATTTTTTCACTCCTTTATTTCAAGTACCTTGCACACTGGTTAATGCATGGTAGGCAATTTTTTTTGGTAGACAATTTTTTAAAATGTGTTAATAGTGTTTGATTTTTAAAAATTAAGGAGTAGACTAATGTAAGAAGCATATTAACAATGCCATCTCAGAGCCCAAGCCTTGTATCTTGAAGAATCAGCTTTGTTAATGTAGTTTATCATCTACTATGTGGTAAATACTTCCTCATACATTATTTATTTTAACCCTTCACCAGCTCTGTGAGGTAGATAATTGGTCTGCTTTACAAATAAAGAAACCCTTCCCTGTCTCTGCATCTCACTATCTCATTACTGTCTGGGACGTGTGTAGGAATTCTTTGGGGATTTAGTTATTCTGAGTGAGCATCACGAAGAATTTCGGCTTCTTTTGGTGCTTGAGATTTTAAACTGGAAGTATATTTGCTGTTGGGGACTGGTAAATCAAATGTTCATTATGTATATAATGCAACTGAAGCCAGGTGGTTAGAGGGAATAGAAGATTCCTGTGGCTTAGTCTTGGAAGAAAGATGAGCTTTCTACTCCAGTAAAAAGTTACAGTATTAGAAGTCCTACCCTGCGTTAAGGGGTTGCTATGAGTTGGATTTGACTTGATGGCATGAGTTTTGGAGTTTGGTGGCTTAGTCTTAGAGAGACCCCAGTCCTCAGTGCTGGAGTTGATTTTCTTTCTTTCTTTTTCACCTCCTTGATGGCCATGATCTCAACAGTCAGGTCTGCACACAGCGCAGGCTGAGGGCAGGAAAGAGAGTGATTTAATGCTAACCAAGGCTTTTATATCTTTTGGGGGACGTGCAAGCCTCCTAATTACAGGTAAAGATGTACGTCACAGGAACGGGTTGTACTATAGGTAATAACAGTAATGGGAGGGGGTCAATCTAGGGGTATACACGCTATTAAGAAGAGGAGGGATTAAGGGTATACACGTGACAAGATGGACGGATCCGAGATTCATGATGGTGGCTTAACCTTGATTGCCCTTGAGGCTGGAGTAGATTTTCAAAGGTTTACAGAAAAATTTCCTGATTGTACCTTTTCATGTATTGAAGCCAGTGTGAACTTTGAATGCAACTTGGCAGAAGTTCACTAGCATGTATCTACTTGGCAGTAGATTCTCACAGTGGAAAGATCACAACTAGGATCATAGTGAAGCGCTGTGTGCTTTATTCCCCTACCTTTCAAAGTCTCTAGACCTGTAAGACCCAAAACAGCTCTTAGCCATCGATTTTTCAGTGGTTGGCTGCCCAATGAGGCATGGACAAAAAATTATGCTAACATGAATTAGGAGGAGAGTACCTACTTTTGCTCACTCGGATGCTCTCCCTCCCTTGTTTGCCAAACCTCCCTACCACCACACCTGATTGTTACATTTACCTGTCCACTTTATTTTGTCCTATTGTTTTGTGTGGGCAATGACTTGGAGCTTGTCTTTCTTTCTAGAAAGTCTCAAGAAATTAGTAGAGAAGGGAATGCTGGGGTAACTTCAGGCTAACTAGAGAATTCTTAACAGTTTTATCCACATTTAGGCATGACTTTCATAAGAACCACTTTTGTAGAGCCCAGGTTCTAGACATACCTCTTCTTTAGCACGATCTTGTTTCGGCTTTTTGGCTGTCCCATCTCCACACTAGTTTTTGTCAACAGTGGCAGATAATTAGTCTGCATGTAAGAGATTTAGAGAAACTGACCAACATTTCTTGCAATGTGGTATGATACTCTGGACACTTATCTAACCTCTAATCAAATAAACAAGGTTTGTCATAATGGATTTTTTTCCCCCTTGAGTGCTTCCCTTGTTCAGAATGTACCTTCATGCCCTGATGCCAGGTTACTGACACATACATTGTTCATTTTGTTTATAGATTTTCCTTTGCTTTTTGTATGTCTCCCTCCAGTGCTATGTTTTATCTGTTTCGCTGTTCAATATAGGAAAAAGTGGAATGGGTCATATTGCTTCTAATTAAGGGCTACAAGGTGCCTTTTTAATCAGAAAAGCTCTGCTTCTCCATAAAATAAGAAATGAAAATAATAATTATAATCTTTCAAGGGGTCATGGGGGAGGGGGCAAAGAGGAGCTGATACCAAGGGCTCAATAGAAAAAGTGTCTAGAAAAGAATGATGGCAACATATGTACAAATATGCCTGATGCAATTGATGTATGGATTGTGATGAGCATTGTAAGAGCCCCAATAAAATGATCCAAGAAAAGAAAAACAAACAAAAAGAAACCCACATTTGCAGTCACAAAGAAATATGAAACTCATGATCTGCTTCCAGAAGCAGCAATTTTGTTATTACTAAATTAAGAAAACATTTTTTAAATTAATGAAAATATACAAAACTTTATTAATTATAGAAAGGAAACAGGTAAGCTGTACTTATAAGTGGTACTGGAGTACCGTATATAGGCATTTTTGTTGTTTCAGTATAAGAATCTTTAAAGTGAATAAAGTGAGATGAATTATATCTCTTTTGCTGTTTGCTACCTTATGAATATTGAAATATTTTGGATTTTTGGATTATCAGAACATGAAGACACATGACCATTCTTGTGATGTAAAAAGGGAATCTGGTGCAAGTCTTCTGTTCACTCACTGCCTGCCCCTTTCCTCTCTTTTTAGTAGAATCCACTGCCTCCAAATGTTGACTGACTATAGCAAGCTGATAGACAGATAGATAGATAGTTTGATTGATTTAATTTTCTTTTCCAATAAGTTTGGGCTGTTTTGACTTTGGGTTGAAATAATTTATCTGAATGTTTTTGCCATTGAACCTCTGAAGATATCTATGTTAAAAAGAGAGTAAAATACTATTTACAAGGCTGACCTTAGAAACACAGAAAAACTTTGGGTTGCCTTGTCTTTTCCTATCCAGACTCCTTCTACTTCTCTTTCTTCTTTTCACAACCCTAATCCCACTACCCTCTTCTTGACATTCCTACTTGGTAAGGTGATGGACTCAAACTTAGCTTGCCTCATCCTGTTTTAAAATCGACATCTTAAAAAAGCAAAGTCCACACCTTTTTCTTGGGGTCACATTACTTAGCAGTCAGTCAACCTTTGTCATATCTTAATTTTTCGAAGGGTCTGATCATTTTAGTAGTTTGTTTTATCTGGTATGTGAGCTTTACACAGATACTTGTATTGATCGCAGCTAAACAGTTTGCCATGAGAACATTAGTGAGTCACTTCTTTAAAATTTAGTAAGTATAAGACCTAGATTACCTTTGATGAGAATACCATATCATATTTGCTTTATGCTTATAAACAAATACTCCTGAACAATTCTTTTTGAGGCTTTCCAATCTGTGAGAAAAAGAGCATTTGAAATGATGTCCTGTGTTATAATCTTGTCAGCAGGGGTTAATGGGAAACAAAGCAAGTGTCTCCTGTAGAGTTCCCCTGGTCACTTGGTCAGAAAATAAGTGTGTAGCACTTCAGCCTAAAGAGTTGGAACCACTGAAAACAATCATGGCTCTTACTCCAATAGATTTGTATTGTATCAATTGGTCCATACAACTATTACTTAGTTGATATACTGCCACAGGTATGCTAGGAAGAGGTTTAGTGGACTTTCTGGCTTTTAAGAGCATTCTTAAAAGATAAACACTTAATTGGATTAGACAAAGAGTTATTTCTCAAGAAACATGTGTATGTTTGTTGGGTCATTTCAATAATGACCCAAGTCTTCAAAACACTTAAAACTTGTTTCCTAGTATCTTAGAGGAAATCAATTGACCTTTCTTAAATGTGGATGTAGAATCATGCAACCTCTTCTCTAAATATGCTATTGATCACATTTGGGTTTTTAATTTATTACTCCAGGCCATCTGATCTAACTTTAAAATGTTAAAACAAATAAAATTTCTATAATTAAGCAGTAGTCTTTTATTATCTTTTCTAGAAGATGGATATAAGACTTGAAATGTATTTTATCTTTGTAATTTTAATAATTCTGACTTAGAAAAAGAAATAATGAAAAAAAAAGAAAGAAAGAAAATAAAAGTAATAATGGTGGCCCGGGAGGGATTTATCTTCTTAGGATTGGTCATCTTGATGGTCATCTGTTGGCTGAGTTATTACATAAGAGAGTCCCAATTATTTTTTTTAATTTTTTAGGAATTGATTGATCAGTGATGAAACCCTTTTTATTTAAAAAATGCTGTTACTGGATATCAGTCTCAGATTTCTCATTCTCTTGTTCCACCAAAGGAAAAAGTGCTATGCTCCTATTTGGTGCTGTGTGATATTATATATACTTAATAAGATCCCAGAGTGTACATTGCAGTGGTCATTGATTTATTTACCGAATGAGTATTTATTCAGTTAATCCAGTTTTGCCATATATAGAGCTACTATAATAGCTATTCCACTTTAGAAAATCATAGTGTGTGTAAGCTTAAAAAAAAAAAAGCAACAAAGCCAAGTTAGGAAATGCTCTGGGAATCTTATTAGTTCATTCAGTTGTTGCTATTCTTTTTATTTTTATTGTTTGGTAATTTGACAGGAACCCCTCGGTCAAATTGTATCTGTCTGTCTCTATCCCATTTTATTATTAGAAAATGTTGCAATGAAAGATCCTCCGGACTTACTGGACAGGCAGAGATGCCTGAACGCCTTGGCGTCTCTTCGACATGCCAAATGGTTTCAGGTCGGCTTTTTTTGTTCTTATTATTGTAGCCTTGTGAAGGTTTCATTTGTATCACCTGTCACTTTATAACTGTTACTGTGTAATGTGTATGATCGCATATTTTCTCCTGTATAGATAGGGTAGTTGTAAGAGTAAATGAGTTAAATCGAGGTAAAGTGCCTTGTATAGGTTTTACCATCATTAATGACATTTCATAATCGTAATTCTTTTTGGCTTAATACTTTGGATTTCAAATGATGGCTTATAAATCACAAACATGAATGAGACAGTTACTTGAAGTGAGGTTGCTATTGACTACAAAAGTAATTTTAATATTATGCTTCTGTTACTTTTAACTCTGTCTTTCTAAACCAAAAGTTTACTACTTTTGATATTCTGATGTTTTGGTGTGCTTGACCACTGACTGGTTAATTAGTATTCCCTTTATCCATGATCTGTGTACTTAAAATGAAGACTGTTTTTCAACTGGGATATTGGAATCATTTTGTTTGTTTTAGGCAAGGGCAAATGGATTAAAATCATGTGTAATTGTCCTCCGCATTCTGCGTGATTTGTGCAACAGAGTTCCCACATGGGCACCGTTAAAAGGATGGGTACGTATGTAAATAGGGTTAAAAGCAAATGTTGAAGCTATAATCAGAAGAAATCCCATAGGAATTACATATTTTTATAAAATGATTATATTCTGAATTAGGTAAGGTGTACATTATCTACTTTTTCTCTGAGGGAAAAAATTAGCACCTTTTTATATGAATTCTTTTGTTTTCTCTTCTGTCCCATCATATTCATGTTATAGAGCCTGAGATATTTTTTATGACAAAAGGCTTTACACCTTTTAGAAGTGAATATCTTCCTGAACTTTTTCTCTATATTCCTGGTTGAGCACCATTCTCTGCTGTCCATGGAAGCCAGCTTGACTGGCACATTGTTCTTTTTGTGACTCCTGTCCTTTTCTCTTTGCGTGTGAACTCCTAAAAATAAGTCCATGTTATTAGAATCAGGCAAGCAGTATACTTAACCTGATTTTGGATATAGTAGTATATATTGCAAACTTTCACCTGGAAATTATTATTCCTGACTTAAGACCACCACTAAGAACATTGTAAGGCAATTTAAATAAATAAGTAAAGGTCATTTATGAATTAATTAGTAATTATTTCTTTACACATAGTATGAGTTTTTAATTTATTTAAATATAGAGATTTGGTTTTGTATTTATTATAGTTTGGGCTGTATGAAATAAAGTTTTATTCTTATTGTGAGTTATTTGTTGTGTGACAGCTTCCTAAGTTGAGTGGGAGATAAATGGTTTGGATTTATACACTGACTAGTTATATTAGCTATTACTAACTTTTATAATTTGTTGAATCGGTAAATCAATATAGATGGGATAGTTTCTTTAGTGGTCATCCGGGGAGGGGGCTAATAAATGAAAATAAAGTTTCTGTAGCAAAAATATCTTCTGAATATATTATCTCAGCAATGGTCAGTTTAAAACTCAGACCTGCCTGGGTAAAAAGTTAATCACTTATGGGGGGAAAATTAAATAGGTACGATATGTTAAATTCAATTTAACTTTTCGGCCTCACTTGTAGATAGTAATGTCAGCTCACCTTTAACTGGAATCCTTTTAACACTTTGTGCATGTACTAATTTGTAATTTAATATCTTCTAGCCACTAGAGCTTATATGTGAAAAGTCTATAGGTACTTGTAATAGACCTTTGGGCGCTGGGGAGGCCTTGAGACGAGTAATGGAGTGTTTGGCATCTGGAATACTACTTCCTGGTAAGGGTTTCAAACTCTGGAGGCAGAAGAGTCAGAAAAGTCTCATTTTAGTTTATTTACCTAAATATATGCTAAATTTGTCCACTGTATAGGAAAAGGATGCATAAAAGTAATTTTATATGGAGTTTTTTTTTTAATTAAAATGTTTGCGTATTAGAAAAGTGCCATAAAATTTATTTCAGTAATTTTTATTTGTGTTTTATATGTACTAACATAAAAGGTACTAATAAGAGATTGTGTCTGCTATGAGTTTGCTTTACCTAGAAAGTGGATTTTGAAAATCCATATGTTTGGTTAAAATATATGAGGTTCATTTTTTTGCAGTCTGGCATTAAATTTGGAAATATTAAATTAGCTCCTTATTTCTCATGTAATTGTTTTTAAGATTTAAGGTAGTTTATCATGCTGTTCCTATATTGTCAGAGAAAGACTTATTTGGGGCTGGTGACTTCCAGTAAATAAAAAGACAGTTAAGTGCTTAATTAAGTAGTTATAAAAATTAGTTTCTGTTATTATTTTTCTTTGCTTTTTCCTCTTGTGTTAATTTACTGGATTGTAAACTCAATTTTAAGTCCTATTTGTGTTTTACCTGTACCAAAGGGGGTCCTGGTCTACATGATCCTTGTGAGCGCGACCCAACAGATGCTCTCAGTTATATGACTGTTCAGCAAAAGGAAGACATTACCCATAGTGCACAGGTATGAGACTGGGCAAACCACTCTGGGTCTTTTGAATTTTTAAAACTTTTTTCCCTCATATTATTCTATGTAAATACTTTTGCTTGCCTGTTGTTAGATCTTTGCCATCGTAGTATCAGTATTGATTGAATGAATTCTTTTTTTTTTAGCTACATGTCCTATGGGCTTTAGAAATGGTTAATACAATTTCAATAAATACAATGTTTTGTTTTTCAGCATGCACTCAGACTATCAGCCTTTGGCCAGATTTATAAAGTGCTGGAGATGGATCCTCTTCCATCCAGTAAGCCCTTTCAGAAATATTCTTGGTCAGTTAATGATAAAGAAGGTAAGTATGAATGATTTTTGTTGGGACTGGGGGTTGGCAGTGGCGGTTACTCATGAATACCATATATGGATGGTCGAGTATAAGCCGACCTGAGTATCAGCTGAGGCACCTAATTCTAGCACAAAAACTGCATTAAAAATGTGCTGAAAAACTCAGCTTATGCATGAGTACATATGGTACGTGTCTTGTTAGGCTTAGAGAATTTAATAATGTCTGAGCTAGAGGAGCCTGGTCACAGTGTGAATTCAGAATTGGACTGCTAAACTTACCAGTTCTCCTTAGGAGAGCTCCTGTGAAAGATTATAGCCTTGGTCATCTTCTTCTTCTTCTTTTTTTTGGGGGGGGCGGCATTTATGAAGTTTATTTTCAGTAGCTCTCCCAGGCAAAGTTTTACTATCAATATTTTCATTTGTGCCCAAGAAGCCAGTAGTGGGGGCATGCTTTATGAATTGATGAGGCTACAAATATTAGCCTTGACAATTAAAAAAATTTTTTAAACAAATATTTTGAGGAGATTTAATTCAATCCATAAGAACAATCATGTACTAAATGAAGTACATAATACAAATTATTTTGATCCACTAAAGATGAAGCCACCCCATAATCTGTTTCTGGCTGATCATGAGATCGAAGAGAACCCAAGAAATTCCCCTCAGTCAAGTTATATTGGTTACATGACATTCAAAAACAGAATAATCATTTTACACCAAATCATAAAAATCAACTAAGCTGAACAATAGTGCCAATGGCATATCCAAACAGCATAATCAATAGAAACGGCAAATAATTGGTTAAACACCACTTACAAACAATAAAAATACGAAGGTTATATTCATTGGCAAAAGTGTTTCCAATAGCAGAACATAAAGACAGACTATTTAAATCAAGTTAAATAGTGATAGAAGCTATAAAAACTCACATTTTTATTAGGTCCTCTGGAGGTAATAAATAAACAGTTTTCAACAAATTTCAACAGTTTATACGTTTTCTAAAAAATAAAATAATCCTAATG